CACCAGACCACTGCGAACGATGAGATACCGACGACGCATATGAAACTCAGCTAGCCGTCAAAAATTCATCATCCCCAAATTCGATCTGGAAATGTTGTTTTAATTACCTGCACTGGCCTACTGACCTGAAGTTCACAAAAATCTGCCAGTCTCTGTCCAGCCTCGTTGCGACTCTCTGCAGAGTGCGAGCCCAATAAAAACCTCGTCTAGCGTTCGTGGTCCGATCCTGGCGTTGAAATCGCCCATTACTATGACGTAGCTACTTTTATGACCTACTCACAAGTTCAGCTAATTGTTCGTAAAAGTCATCGTGTTGTTCTTCATCGCTATCTGCTGTCGGTGCATAGACTTGCAAAACAGTAACTCTTATGTCCTTCGAAATACTTGCATTTAGAATGCCCGAAGCGGTGTCCGTAAAGTTACGCTCTGAATGCGTTTTGAGAAGTCTGGTGATACGATGAATCCAATGCCTCCTGAGGTTGAGTTGATTTCACGACCTCCTAGAAAAACTGTTGTTGTTCCAGCGTTTCATTTGCATGACAGCGGTTCGTTTCGTTTCGTCTCGCTCAAGCCGATGACATGATATTTGATCCGTCGTCTTCGTCGACTAGTGCTGAAAGCTGAGCAGCCGAATTAATGCCTCGACAATTGTATGTGCAGAAGCGAATTGACTGCCAACCATCCTTCGTCTCGTTTCCTTTGGCAAGCCATAATGGCCCGTTAATTTCTTCGCTTGCTGTTTCAGCTGATTCCAGCGCTGCTTGACTGGGCAGTAAGCCAGCCTGCAGGGGACTAAGGCAATTTGGAGAAGCGGTCGTGGTATTTTTAGTCCCACAGGATATAGCCTTACTAGGGCGTTCCTGTTGCTCAAGGAGGAGCGCCGTCCCACCATGAGCTTGGGCTCTTCGGGTTCTTTAGTCACGAGAATCGGTATGGGGTTTCGGCGCAACCCTATTCTGGCGAATATCCCGACCTCGCCTCAAGCTCGTACACCGCGACAAGGTAGAACCCGCGTACGAGCTGGAATGACATTACTGATAAATCGCGCTACAACATCTTTCTAATGCACATTTTTGGGGTGTTTCACCACTGAATGTCACATTTTCCGTGAGTTTATTTATTTTTTATTTATTATTACTATCAGTTCATCGTTGTAACAAGGTGGCTCGTACAATAAAACTCAAGTACCGATAGAACGAGAACATTGAAGGAACGAAAGAAAAATTTCATACAATGAACATTTGAGCATCACATGTATTCAAAATAGTCGTCGTGAGCAGTTGGATGAAAAAGGGATAAGAGGGGGGGTAGCCGCCGAAGCGTGGGTCAGAGACAGCTTCAGGGGCAGCAGTGGCCGCCGCTGTTAGAGGTTACCAATTCGATATAGCCGGCTGGTGAGAAGTTATTCCGGCCGCTGTGAGGGTGGTGATCGGAGATTGGACAACGCCAACGATTAGTCGAACGTTCTGGTTGAAGCACGTTTGCACAAATCTATTGAGAGGGTTCCTCCTAAACTAATCGCACTTGCATTGTGTTTTCTTGTTGTACGGGAAGAGCTGGAAAGTCCCAAAAATTCAAATAGGGCGTGCCGCGACAGCTCACCATTTTGAAGGGCGTTCTAGCTTGTTTCATGCCATGAAAACGACCTGACTTTTTGATCATTTGCGACGCACGACAAAGAACGGATTCTTTGCTACAGAATACGAACCTTTGGTGAAGTGATCGACCGCGATCAGGCTCTACAAACTTTGCAAAAGTGAAACTTCACTGAAGGAAGGTTGAGGTGACTTTCATAAGGTCAGCGGCTGGTCTAGCTTTTCGTAACCAGGTGGATCTGTTAATGTGGAAAAAGTACTCCTGATAATGTGTCAAACTACTCCTAGAACTCTGGCACATATGCTCGAAATTCCTCATTATAAAGGAACCGGCTCGTCCCTGACAGGTAGCTCGGACGCACATTCCACAACCAACCCTGCAGAAGTTGGACAAGATTGGCTACGAATTAGTCCTGCGAACATCCTACTCGGTAGACCTTTTGCCTATAAATGTCACTTTCTCGACTACCTGGATAGCTTCTCCAAAGAGTTATGCTTCAAAAACCAACATGATGCGGAAACGACCTCCGACCTTTTGGCACAAAATAAGCTCCTAAAAGGTTTGAGAGCGCTTCGACGTCGCAGCACGTCACTTTCAGGGACCGGAAAGCAAGAAAAGTTAATAGCCAGGACATACGTATGTATGGCCAGCATAGAGGTGATGAGGAGAGCCACTTCAGCTCCCTTGGTTGAATATTCCGCTGGCAAAGAACTTGGCCTTCATTGTGCCACTGATACGATAGTATTTGTAAAAGAATAAAAAATATGTCACTATTCGATCAGCTAGGAGGCCATACAAGAAGTATCATTGAAAAAAACGCAGTAATAGAGAAATCATTTCAGAAACTGCTATGAACCTTTTATACAAGCTGACGGAGCTAGCTGGCTAACGAGGTAAATAAACTTCCAGCTCCGAGTCGAGCCAACGTCGTCGCATGTATCGTGGTCTACCTTTGGCAGGAAACTCGTCAGAGAGTAACCCTGGACTCTCTGTGCTTGAAACTGGGCTTATACTAAAACACACCATAAATGAAATTCCGAAGTAGTCATTGAACAAAACATGGCTCCAAATTCCTTAAAATTCTTGCATGTCACCTCCGAGTGCGCACGAATGGTGTCAGCTCGAATTCCGCTATCTTGCATAATTATTGTTTCACCACACCTGTGGTATTAGGACGCCTGAATCGTTACCTCTCACATTGTCAAAATAAAAATTGTGACATTGAGAACCCTGAGCCTAAATCTCCTCCTACTTTACCTACCAGTTGAGAGCTGGCGGTGATGCTCACCTGTCAGCTGGGAATTTAAAGGCAGTGAACGACATAACCTACACTTTCGTTCCTCTGCTTCGAACTAGATCTCACGCCATAACAAATAAGAGAAGTAGTGACACTCTGTCCTACGAATATCCAAGGAGAAGGGTCGAGAGTGGAGAGAACGAGAAGTCAAATTGAAGAGGCATCAGAAGCTTCAAATTACATCCTGACACATAACGCAGCCCATTTCCTCGAGGCTTGATCTGCCCGTGCTGATCATATCGTTATGTCAAGTATACCCGTAGAAATAGAGTGCCTTCAAATGCTGAAGAAAATGAGCAGCGCGGTATGTTGAATAATTAGGAAGTAGCCAATCAAAACAGATCAAAACTTCCATTCAGCACTCGAGTATTGCAGAAAGACGACATGGGGCGAAGCAGTGACAAACGTGAAACACTTGAGGTGAAGGCGATATTTAGGATAACAACCATAACTAGGACAACAAGTGGTCACAAACGCCAAATACCACCGCATCTACGATCGAATTAGTGGGAGGGGGTTGCGACTGTATTCAACGCCGTTGTGGTAGCTAGCAAACAGTAAAGATCGAAAGCAAAAAAGCTGCTAAGAACCCTTAAAGCACAGAGGGTGCTAATCGTATGAGCAAGGTCTGCACCTCTCCCGTAAGCCTCATATGTTAGCCGTTTCCGATGTGGTAAAGGGTAGATGGAGCCCAAGACTACTGAGACTACGAATGCAGGGACGAAAACCCCTCCAATACGATCGGCGCACATTGTGATCCTAAGAGGTTTTAGGAACTTTTAAAATATCTTCACACACAAGAATCCTAGTTTTTGGACTTATCTGAAGAAGAAGGCAGATTCAGAAATAAGTGTGCATTGCTCGACAATTTAGCACTTTTTTAATGTGAGGTCGCAATTCACATAGCATGGGTTGTTTACGCATTTGCACAGGACAAGGAGATAAGAAAAAAAAATCACTTTTGTTCTTCTGCGCCTTGATTCACGAGAGATGTTTTGTGAGAAAACACAATATTCACTCAAAACTACTTATTTCGTTTCCCAGAGATGACGTAAGTGCTGCGGTAATCAGTGCAACAAAATGAGAAGCGTATCGAAGAGAATACGCCGTTCTTCAAAAGAAAATGCTGAAGAAATAGCAATCGTCGAAAAATAAAGTGATTAAGATTTTCACTGGAAAACATGGAAGTCAAAATCCCGGCAACCAAGCCCATAAAGGTAGGAGAAGACTCACCACAAATCTTCAGCGGTGCTTCCAACTCCAGAAGAATCGGCTGCGACAAGAAAATTTCGCGGGATTTGTGGCACAAAGCCCGAATTTCCGCTTCGGTCATAGTTACCGTCTTTCCTGGACGACATCCACGAACTAAACTCGTAATAATTACAGAGCAATATTAATGCCACAGAAACCCTATACGGAATAGCCATAAATGGCCGATGTCAGACTTTGCGATTGGAGCGATTTGCACCAATTGCTCAAGAGATCCGTCGCTCCAAAGTGCGAGGCGACGGGAGATTTACCCGCCAACCACCGATAACTCGGCGCATCAGTCGTCAATCGCCCGTCGCTCTCACTTTGGAGCGCGGATCGCTTGAGCAATTGGTGCAAAATCGCTCCAATCGCAAAGTCTGACATCGGCCAATAGGATCAATTTTGTGTTATTTATCAGGATACCATAACTTTCTGAATATCATCCAGGAGATGTGATTGGGGAAAATGCTAGCTCGTTTACCGCTTGGTGAACAATGAGCATCACACAACCATATGAAGAAGATTCGTTCAGGCTGACTTTGTACTTTCCAAGTAGAAGTGGCCAGTCCCCTTTTTTGGATAGAAAAATGTTCATATCTTTCGACACCGATGTTACGGGTGGATTACAGGTTACTGATGAACGCAAAACGCAAAAACAAATGGAAAGCAGCAGATTCACAACGGGCTGAAGCAGATTCGGACTAGAGTCCACTTCAGAAGACCAACGCTATCACGAGGTGCTCAAAATAAGAATGTCTGGATAATTGATCCAATTGCTTAGCACAGTGCGCTCCAAAATGCAAATGGTCAAAACCATGGGTGTGCAGTTTGCTCGCTTTTGTACTGAATCTCTACAGAAGCTATATGGTACGAGGCTAAAAATAATTGCACATCAAGGTGACTCGATTGCAAAACAAGAAAAATGAAAAAAAATTCGCACTTTGGGAAATAATTGCTTCCTGTACTCGTATCTTAAGAGATCAGCAAGTTTACAATATTCGGGTCTTGTTCGGTAAGTTAGGGTGGGGGTAGCGGCATGTGGTCCGACTGCTCACATTGCCTAAAGTAATCCAATCGCAGGGCAGGGGCAGTAATTAGTGGAAAAGTGAAATGGTTCACCCACCCCGAAAATTTTATGCTTCTGCCAAGATGGAATTTCTGTAAGAGGGAGCAAATGTCGCAACACATGCCCCTCCCCTCCTTGCTGGAATCAACCCCAAACTCGTTGACCAGTGAAAAAAATCAGATTTGAGAGATTTGATCAACTACTTCGAGTTGGGCAATGTTTAGGCCTAAATTCAAAGGATGTTGCGCCCAATACCCCTCAAATGAAGTCATACTCTCCATACTTGCAATAATACATTCGAGTTAACGCGCTACTCACCATTGTGCCACCCCATCATTTTTATTCTATATCGATGTTGGAAGGAAAAATTCGTTGATGGTAGATGCAAAAGAACCGTGAAGGATGTCAGCTTAATGTAGCAATTCCATCCAAGGATTTTTATATAAAAATGTATGCAGTTCAAACAGCCAAGTCAGCTTTGCAGGAGGCGTAAACAATTCAGTCAAAAAGCATTCAAAGTAGTCAATATGTTACTAGATCTTGAAAAGTGAATAAATTCAAAGCTGCAGAAAGGCGCTATTCATCAAAAGCTTGCCTGTAAGAGCTTTGTAATTCTGCGATTCTTTATGGGGAACTTTAAGTCTGCAAAAATAATTCCGGGTCACAAGTTCTTAGCAATCTTGACCAAAGTAAAACTTCAGAAGAGAACAATATTGAAATCCCCACAACTGCAAAGTGATGACTTTTGGCCTCAGGTAGGACTTCAGCGCATTAAGTGTTGAAAGCGGGAGGTTGTCGTGAAAAGGGGGAACTCTCAAATTGCTCCATGTTTGTCATTCTAGAACAGAGCTTGAGTTGGACAGCTATGGTTAATCCTCTGACAATATCGCAACAGCTGAGGTATAAGGAAACCAAATGACAGAGAAATCCACTCACCCTCGAGTAACCTAGTGATGAGGTTGTCAAGATTGATTTCTCCTTCTCCAGACATCTCAGAGACTTATGGCTATAACGTTCTTATTATCCGAATACCCAATAAGCGTCTCTGAAATTATAAGATTGAGTGGCACTTCATGCGCTTTCTAAAAGGGATAACGATCGTAAACAAATCCACGCAAGTTGACGGAGCAAGAACTG